TTGGGATTTGGGATTTGGGATTTCGGCATTTGGGATTTCGGCATTTGGATTTTGAATTTGGGTGGCAGGTATAAAATATATGCAAAAATTTTCGAAAATAAATGGAAATTTACGAAAATATATGCAAAAATTTTTGAAAATAAATGAAACAAAAAATTCCGGAGATTTACGATTCGAAAATTTTCGAAAATTTTTTCGAAAATTTACGAAGATGTCGTATAACTCCGAAAATTTAACGAGGCAAAAATTTTCGAAATATTTTGCCTTTAAAAATTTCCTGATGAATAAGTCAGGATCCTAGTCCTCTTTACATTGTAAAGTAATGGCTGTTCCTTTCCCTACCCCGTATTATTAGCTAAGTTATTGCTATTGTTATTACTATTGTTATTTTTACTATCTATCCAAGAACCTATTTTTTTTAATGTTCCACCTCTCATATCGCTATCATTGTAATAAAATTTTTTTACTGTCTCCTTGTTAATCTTTCCCATCCCCAGACTACGAATTTCAACAGATACTGTATTACACATATCATCCAAAGAATAATTATTTTCCCTCATAATCCTATCAAAAATAATTTTGAATTCGTTCCAGGTTGTTAAGATAATATTGGAAAACGATAAATGACTTGAGCCACTGGAAGAAGCGTGAGAAGATCTTCGGGAAGAATTAGATGAAGGCGGGGTATTAAATTGTTCAGATATTAATGGGATTATGGAACCCGTTTCAGTTAAATGATCCAACTGGTCACGAAGAGATTCATAATTGGCGGTAATTCCATTAATAGTTTCAATCACAGTGGTTACCATCGTCATGATTCTCTGCCCTTCGATAATAAATGTGGCATCTCGCGATATAAAATCTGCAGTTAATCTTTCCACACGCGCATTGAGGTCCACAGTAATTTGTTGTCTAATGACATATATAGCGAAGCACATGCTAGCTAAAATAAGATGAACAGGGATCTTCTCAGCAAACATCATTATGAATATGAAGACCAAAAAAGGTGCAATTTTCGAAATGTTGATCGAAGACATCTACACGAAAAAAAAATCCAATTAGACATCAATTAAGCATGGAGTGCACGGATATTTAATAACAAACGAAAATACCTTATTTCGATTAAAGTTAAGTAGATTAATTTTTGTTATGAATTTGATAGTTTTATTCGAAAACAACTGCAAAATTTATGAATTATATTGTTTCGCTTATTGGTTTTAAATTTGCAGGAAGATTGAATAACGAAAAAAATTCATCTTTTATAGGGAATTTATAGATCACAATTTCAATGTTATCGATTAGCATTTATTACACGCAAAGACTGGAACTTTCCAGAGACGATATAAGATAACTATGCTTGTAGAATGTTCGATGAGTCATTAAATTAAAAATAAAACGTAGCCTTTCAATATTTTATGTGACAAAGACACTAGCCCGCTATTAAACCCCAAAATAAAGTGTATATGGGTAAATGAGATTTTCAACACGTGTGTATTGTTAAACTTTATCGGTGTTCATACTATATATTTATCTGCACTACATTTGTGATCAATTATACCGAAACAATGTTCATTCTACAAATTTATCCGGAGCAATGTTCATCCTGCTTGTCATTCTGCTGTCATTAGCCCGTGCACGATCAATTTTGATCAATTAGTATCACGTTAACCCTCCGATCGGCAAAATTAAGTCATACGAACATCCACGTTATTTCAAACACATGCTTTGATCACGGGTAATGGAAACGTGCAACGTAATATGTAAAAAATAGATTCTAAGTCGCGCTTTATTAATGCAGTTGAATTATCTTACTACAAAACGAAAGTGGCTATAATAAATTTGGGTGATGCGTTTCCAAATATACATATAATTCAGTATAATCGAACACTCACATTACACTATCTTTACATATATTCTTGACTATAACAAAGCTATTTTTTGGATCATATGTGTGCTCATATTTATGAGGATTAAGTAGATTTATATACTGGGATGGGTTATCAGTGAACTTATTCATTGTTTTACGCATATTATTTCTTGACTTAGCCATACTAACATATATACATCCATTTATTCGATTCAAATATGACATACACATTCGAGTATTTTTTTTTGCTACTCCTCTATGACCAGTTTCCCTAACTCAGATCTCAATACTCGACGCGCGATATTCTCTATCTCAGCAGTTTTTCTCTTCCTCTTTACTTCGATGGGATCAGGCTTGACGATAACAGATTCCTCGAGTATATCTATTTCTTGGGATACTGGTTCTGGTGCTGATTCTGCCTTCTCAATTTTGGTATTAGTAGGGTACCATTTAGGCAAGTTAGGTTTGCCGATTGAGTTAGCATATGAGTATGGGTCTTCAGATTTCCAAATTTTATTGCACTTTGGGTTACCGATTTTATACCACTCCGAAACTTTTTTAGATCCACCCTTCAAGGCTTTGGCATATAGTATACAGCTGATATCGTCTTTAGCTAATCGCACAAGAGGTGGTCTTGGTTTGATAAGTTTCTCCGACTGTTGTGAATCGGGGTTTTTGTTAGATTTTTGGATGCCATCTTGAAATGAAATTATTATATTTAGCAAGAAAAAATGTAATGAATGTTTACAAAATGTGAATATGAGATGTATTTTTATATAACATCGTTCCCTCGAAGCTAGACAATTACAGTTAACATCCTCTCTAGTTCAGAAAAAGAAAAGTAGTTGACACGTTTAAGATCTGGCTTTGAGCAAGTACTGCGAAAAGGTGGGATATCAGATATTATATACATAGATAGAAAAATCACAATTGAATAAAAAATATAGTTTTAAGAAAATATCTAGGTTTATTATCAACGATATCATCTAGACAAGCCAATCAAGCAAGCATCTGCAAAGATACACAAGCTAGACTTGCAGAGCTCAAAGGAGTAGCATTGAATACAATACCCTATCCACGTTCTAATACTATTTTAACTCAATATCAAGAGGAGATTAGAAATTTCGAAAACAAAGCCAATTATCAAGAAATAGATTTTATCGACAAGTTAGCTAACTGGTTAGCTGGGCCAGAAAAGAGTTATAAGCCAAAGAAATTGGATCCGGTTCCTACTACAATGGATGAATGGGTAGATAAATATTTATGGCTTGAAAAAGAAGATCCAGTTCGACATGCAGATAATTCAATTACATGGTTTTCAAGACGCATTCCAGAATTAGCACCTCAGAAAAAGTCAAATGATCATGGATATGAGTATTGGAAACTTTCTATTGACGTAAATAAACCACATATTACATATGAATATGCCAGTAAAATTCGTAATCTGATGGATGATGGTGAGGAATATATTATTGGAATTGTTAATAGTTGGGAAATGGGTAGAATGGAAACACGAATACAATTTGATGATAATGATATACCTAGAAGTTCAAAAGAGGAATGGGTTCTAGAAGAAAAACATGAATGGAAAATGGAGTCTCATGGATGGATGCCATCATTCAAAGAATATTCTAATGGAAAAATCAGTATACATAGGCTTTTAATGACAGATCAGACAGCATGGTTATCTTGAAAAGATGAAGATATAGATCCAAATAAAGATGGAGACTATTATTTAGAAGGCCAGCCATATGTACTGCGCTACCAGTTTATGGCACGTCCACGCTGAGATTTATTCAGTCCAGGTATTCATGAAGATGGAACAGTTTGGTGGCATACTCAATTGCCAATTCGCGTTCATCATAAAATGGCATTAAAAATTCGATCATTGCTTCATTACGCTACAGAATACACACTCTTTACTAAAATTTGGATGGCGACTGGAGCAGTGGAAGAAGGAATTGCAGATAAAGGCTGGCATTTTGGTAAGAAAAAGAAGGTTGGCAGTCTTACTGAAGAAGAAATTACACCAGGACAACTTATGGGAATTGATGAATATTTATGGGAAAAGACTCGTGAATATGTATCGCATATTTGTTATGAACTTCGGCCAGTTCCAATACCACAAGGTCCACTGGGTCTATACTACAATGGTGATATAAACTGTATTGTTACAGAATTATAATGACAAATTGAGCAAGAAGGAACAAAGCAGGCTAAAGGGCTAACGCCAGCTCGTGAAAGAGCCCTTGTAGAATTTAACAAAAAAGTTTTGAAACCAGGTTGTACTTTGAAGGACTTACATATTCTCGAAAAGGATGAGAAGGATGGGGGTTTAGGAATGAAAATTATCGTTAAAGATATCTTAGGTAATGAAATGTGGAATAGCGGTAAATATAAAAAGCGTAGTACATTAACTGTATTCTGCCATAACTATACGTGTTGCCCAAATCCCAAATCATTTGGGATTTGGGACGCCAAAATTCCAAATTACTAGTATTTGGGATT